CATCGGGATGTCCGGAACCGCCTCGCCGAGGCGCACAATAGTCCTCAGTCTGGCGAAGGCCAATTCTGTCATCCTGGAAAGCCCAGAGCGGGACGTCAAGAGGCCATTCGGCCGAAAAGCAGCACTGTTTTGGGCGTACTTCGTGCGGTACCGGCGAGCGGTACCTTGTCTTGTTTAGGGGGTGACAGAGTAAGATAGTGTTCCGACGAGCGAGGGCAGCCTCCTTAAAGGCGAAAGGGTCTAGATTTGGAGCGCTCGCCGAAGAGGAGTACGACAAAATAGCGCCCGTGATTGCCTGCACGCTACCCGCACTCACGGACTCCATACCCGAAAGAAAGAGAAGGGAGCTCGCGGGAGAGGTGACGAGTGAACTACAGGTAGTGGGGAAGGCAGCCTCGATTGCCATACAGACATGGGTGCGAAACAACGACAAGACCAAGGCACGGGCAGAGGAACGAGAGAAGAATATAGGGTGGATAAAGCGCCTGTTCACGGCATGGAGGGTGAGCCACACCGAACGTACCGAGCGAAGAGCCGAACGGAAGGAGGACGGGGAAGATGACTCCGAGGAGGACGAACCAGTGGAAATTCAGTTGTCAGATGTCACGATGCATCCGAAGGGGACCCCAGCGCCGGCATCATCCGTCGAGGCACGAGTGTTCGAAGAGAGAGTGGACCTGAGCAACAACATGACCTGTAGGCAAATGATCGGAGTGGGAGTCAGAAATGTGGTCCTTGCGCGAGGGGAGCTCGATAGACTCGAGGGGCCAGGATATGCAGCAAGGAGGGCGGAGCTGCGCCGAAAGCGGAAAGGCGAAAGAAGCCGAGAGAACAAGGGAACGGCAGGCGGCGGCGGCGCAGGACGAGGCAGAAGAGAATGACGCGACAGAGGAGGAAGTGACAAGGGAGAGAACGACGAGAGTGGGACGGCCGCGAGGTGGCATGAAGGTTGCAGCGAGAAGCGGCGAGAGACTGCGAAAAGAGATAGGAAGAGGCAGACTCCCTAGGGTGGGCGACGGCTAGCGCATCACACCCCTCTCCTTAAAATCCCTGTGTGTGGTTGCGGCGTGCCGTCCTCCCATCCCTCCCTTGGGTTGTCTGTTTTCTTTCTTTTTAGTGTTCCCCACAAACAGAGAAACCGAATCGCTTCTTTTTTATTGTTGGGTTAGCGCCAGTCCCGTGCCTAGTGTCGTCCGAGGGAGTTGCGTTGTAAAATTCTTTCTGTTCCGTGAATCGTGAAAGAGGATTTTTTTTTGTCTTTGCCATGGCGCGCGCCACGCCGCGTTTACTCTCAACTTGTAGCCACGCGCCCTGCGTCTCGTGCCTTGCGCGCGTGCCCCACGCCCGTCTTCCACCTCGTGCCGCGCGCGTTGCCTCGCACCGCCGCTCCGGCCCGCGGCCTCCAGCCGCTCAGCGCCGCCGTCTCTGACCGGCGGCCTCCCGCCGCCCCGCAGCCAATCAGCGCCGGCGGCGCTTCCAACAAAGCGCAGAAAGGCGTCGTGAACAAGCAGAAGAAAAAGAAGCAGGACTCGGACGACGAGGACGACCTGGCGTTCAAGAAGAAGCAGAAGGAGCAAAAGGAGAAGGAGAAGGCGATGGCCGACAAAATCAAGGGCAAAAAGTGAAACCTGTGGAGGTGTTATCAGTGCGGCGTGCGCCGCCATAGCGTAGTCCTACGTGTGCATGCGTGAGCTAAAACCCAAAACGCGCAGAGCGAGCGGCACCACCCGCCGTGTGAAAATGGGTACCCACACCCCCCGCGTGCAGACACCTCTCGCTGTGCACGCTCCTCGCTCGCTGGTGCCGCCCGCCGGCAGGACGACAGAATGAGCGCGGCCACACACGAGTGGCGTGCACGCAGAAGCAGCACCGTAGGTCGTAGCACAGCAGCCGGCCCGCGCTATGTCGTCAACGTAGAGCCGCCGCAGTCCGCTATGCGGCTGGCTCCTTCGCCCCCTCGCTCGCCGCCTCCTCCGCCGCCGCCTCTGCCGCCGCCTCTGCCGCCGCCGCCTCGGCCTGCTCCTTGAGCTTGGCAGCCTCCTTGCGCTTGGCAGAGGCCTGCGGCGAGACCACTCGCTGGGTAAACGGGGCTGCTCCAAGCGTTGCTGCACCTCGGCTGTCTCTCGGCTGTCTCTCGGGTAGATCTCGAGTAGATCTCGCCTGCATCTCCGCCATCATCTGCCTCATCTCCGCCAGCTTGTCCTGCGACGACTCGAAGAAGGCGAAGTCGCGCTTCAGCATCTTGCCCTTGGCGGGGTCGATCTCGAGCGCGCCCACCCACCTGAGAGAAGAAGGCTTCCAGATGCAGATCTCGCCATCCAGATGCAGATCTCGCAGGTCTCGCCAATCCAGATGCAGATCTCGCCGTCGGGGCGGGCATGCAGCTGCTGCACCCTTCCACAAGCACATCGAGAGCCGAGGCAGCGGGCGGCGGCTGTGGATCACAGCGGGTTGCAGGCGTGCCGGAAGGGTCTCGGAAGGGTCTCGGAAGGGTCTCGGAAGGGTCTCGGAAGGGTCTCGGAAGGGTCTCGGAAGGGTCTCGGAAGGGTCTCGGAAGGGTCTCGGAAGGGGTCTGTGTCTCAGAGGTGTCTCAGAGGTGTCTCGGAGGTGTCTCGGAAGAACTGGCTCACCGGTCGATGGCGTCGTCGCTCGGCTTGACTTCGACGAGGGGCATGAGTGTGAGCATGCCGGCGCCGAACGCGTACGAGTACTTGAGCGGCGGCACCTTCGGGTACAGCGTGTGTGTGCGGGTGGGCCCGTCCTCCATGCTAGGAGGTGTGTAACACTGACTGACTGACTGACCTTCGGGTACGCCTTGATCTCGAGCATCGGCTTCGAGCCGAGGAGCGCCTCCTCTGTCCCGGCAGCCTTCGCCGTCTCGCGGAGCGCCGCTGCGTCGCTCTTGAGCTGCTGCGGGCTCATGCCGAGGGCGGTGATGATGGCGTCAGTAATGGCGACGCGCTCCGCCTCGGGCCGCTGCGCGAGGAACGTCTCGCAGAGCGCCTCGGTGCCCAGCGCAAAGACGGCGTTGTACCGGAACGACGGCGAGACGATCGCCATCTGAGAGCTGCCGAGCAGCTCGTTGACGAAGCCCTGCGCGTCGGGCGCGACGTACGGCTTCCCGTACGCCGCGAAAAACTTCTGGCGCGCCTCGTCGACCGTCTGCGGCGGCGACGAGCCCTCGCCAAACCCAAGAAGAGCACGCGCTGCCGCGGCGCGGCAGGAGGATGGGAGCGGTCGGCGAGAGGAGAGGAGCGCGCCGTGCGCGGATGGGAGGCTGGCGACAAGGAGAAGGAGGTGCTGCTTCATGCGAGGAGGAGCAGCGAGCTGGCGGCAGAGCGGCGAGCTGGCAGCGGCGAGCAGCAAGAAACTTCGAGGCAAAGAAAAAAGAATTCTAGAAAGCATCCACAAAGAAACAAAAAGGCGAATACGGGAATGTTCGTAAGAGCTACATACACTGAAAACCCGATGCGGCCTGCTTGCCTTTCGGCGGCAGTCGTCTGATCACCCGACTACCGGCCCGACGAGCGACGTCTCGGTGGCGGGCGCTGGCCGCTCGCGCTCACGCCTCGTCGGCGACGTCAAGTTCAAGGACCCGCTCTCCTCCAACCCGGAGGACGTCGGCCAGCGAGGCGCTTTCGTCGGCCTCGGCAACACCGAGCCCGGCACGAGCGCGGACGTCTTCGGCCTCGAGCAGCGCGGCGCTGTCAGGGCGCTGTCGGGGACGGCGACTTCACGATGCAGAGTCCGGCTGACCCCCCCCCCCCCCCCACCCTCCTTCCCAAGGGCGACAAGTGGATGATTGGCGATGCCTTCCTTGGCGGCCCCGTCACAGTGCCGCCCGCAGAGGGTGAGAAGGGGACGCCCGCAGCGTGGCACCAGGCGCAGCCCCGTCCCTCCATTCGCACGACCTCCCCACACCGACACCCGACCCTGCCCAGGGCTACACAGGGTTCCGGCTCCTAGCCAGATAGGGGGTCTGTTGCCTACGGTTAGACCCCATGCAATAGGTAGGTAGGTCCGGTTTGACCGCCCCAGAGGGCCCCGCAATAGGTAGGTAGGTGGTGGTGGTGGCTGGTGGGCGGGCGGGCGGGGGGGGGGGGGGGGGTAAAAAAACCGCTTCGCTGCGCGGGAGACTCTGTCGAGGGAAGAGAGTGCCGTTCTGGAGCCGTCCAACGCCTCGAGAGCCCAGTAGGCCATGCTCTGGTGGGCTCGCGAGCGGCGCGCACCGAGGTACAAGCCGGCGCGCGGCGGGCGCTGGGAGCCTATTCACAGAGGGCTAACGGGCATTTTTTCGCTTCGCTGCGCGGCCTGGGAATAGGTAGGTAGGTGGGGCACGGAGCCTGGCGATTGGCGCCCGCAATAGGTAGGTAGGTAGGGCGTTTTGGTGCGAGTCATAGGTCACAGACCCCCTATCTGGCTAGGAGCCGGCCCCAAATGACAGTGTCCCAATGCTCGATCGACCA